GAAGTTAGGGTGGGGCTGCATCAGCCATAGGTACTAAGCCCCTAACTTGGTTCTGTTCTCAGACTTGGACTGTTGATGGTAGAAAATTAAGGCAACTCTCCCTGACCCCCTACCCGATTCATTATTGCACCTGGAACCTGCTCCCCACCATTGAAACCTCTGCCTGATCACCGGGCCCTACCCTTCCCTGGGTCCCCTCCCCAATCCCTGATTCTCAGTCTATTCCAAGAGTCTCTGACAATTCTTTCCCTATGAAGTTGAGTGAGGGTTAGAAGAAAACATTCATTTGAAAGCCCTTTAAAAACCTTAGGCTCCATAGTAGTCCCTGACCCCCTACCCGATTCATTATTGCACCTGGAACCTGCTCCCCACCATTGAAACCTCTGCCTGATCACCAGGCCCTACCCTTCCCTGGGTCCCCTCCCCAATCCCTGATTCTCAGTCTATTCCAAGAGTCTCTGACAATTCTTTCCCTATGAAGTTGAGTGAGGGTTAGAAGAAAACATTCATTTGAAAGCCCTTCAAAAACCTTAGGCTCCATAGTAGCTAAGGACCTGGATCATGCCTTTGGCAAGAAACATCTTCCTCCACTAGTTCCCATATCCATACGCTCTTGGTGGGGGTGGGAGGGCCCAAGTGGACAGTGGCCTGGGCTTGGGAGTTACCCTGCGTTTAGCCCACACCTCTTGGGTCTTCTTTCTAGGACAGCCTGGCTTCTCTTCTGCCCTGTTGACCCACTAGAATTCTGGGTTTTGGTTGGGAAAACCAAGTTTCTGGGGCTGAAGATGTGCATGCCACCGTGGGCTCAGTGAGCCTGTCGCGTCCCCTCTGTTTGGAAATAGGAAGGTGAGATTGGCAGAGGGAATTTCTCCCAGGCCTGTCCCCGGAGGCTCTGACCTGGGTCTCCTCACGTCCCTGGCCCCTTCTCATTGGCCCTGTCCCTCCCCTGATTTCCTGGGGATTGGAGAGAGGGAATAAAGGCAGAGAGCAGTGGGAGGGAGTCTGCTTCTGCCGTGTGAGCTCTCTGGATTGCCGCGTCCTCGGTGAGTCCTTCCTTCTGATCTCCCTGGTCATCTATGTGGTGAGGCAATGAGGCCAGAGAGTGACAAGCCGTGGTGACCTCCACCAAGGAAGGCCAGGCCCAATGAGTGGGCATGTGTTCAGGGCAGCTTTCAGCATTTCCTGAGAAGAGGCTCTGGGGGTGGAGGTGGGGATGGAACCGGGTAGGATGTTGCTGCCCTTGCCCAGAGGCCCTTGTCTCCACTGCCGTCCTGGCCGAGTCTCCTGGAGGTGGGCAGAAGCTGAGGTTTTGGGGAGGTGGGAGGTGACCGACAGGCCCAGTTCAAGAATCGCTGGGTGGTTTGGGGCTGAAGGTGAGAGCCAGCAGCTTCTTCCTGCTTGCTCTGTACTCTGCACAGATTCACCTGCAGCCTCCGAGTTCCTTGGGTGTTGCCTCTTTCCTCTTGAAAGGGGAAGTGGTTTTCAAGGCTGAGTCACAGGAACTCCAGCTGCCCCTCTCCTTGGGTGGATGCCACTGTGCTGGTGGCCGAGAGGGCCCCATCCAATGCAACCTCTGGACCTAGCTCTCAGAATGATCCTGGATATTTTCTTATTTATTTTTTAAAAATATTTTTATTGGTTTCAGAGAGGAAGGAAGAGGGAGAGATAGAAACATCAACGATGAGAGAGAGTCAACCATAGGCTGCCTCCTGCACGCCCCACACTGGGGACCCAGCCCGCAACCCGGACATGTGGCCGACCAGAATTGAACCATGACCTCCTGGTTCATAGTTTGATGCTCAATAACTGAGCCACACCTGCTGGCGATCCTGGAGATTTTAATAAGCCCATCCCCCTCACTGCCTTGTGGTCAGTCTGCATGTGCAGTCACTGGGCCGGAGGCTGGAGACCGGCTGGACAAGTCTCATCACCTCTGTTCCATTTCCTGTTGAGGCCTGTCGCCCAGTTCCAGCCCTAGCCCCCTCCAACCCCTGGACTCTCTCATTGTCCGGTTCCTCACTCCCATAATGGGACCCTTCCCAATATCCGGAGATTCAGGCAGCCAGGCAAAGGAGGGGGACTGGGTGAGGATTATCTCTGAAAATGAATGCTCAGGCTGGATGGGGCAGGGAGAAAATCCTGACCCCTTATCTGCTCCATCATCTCTCACCATTTCTTCTGGGGAGGTCACCTTGTCATCCCTCTGCCTCTAGAACCCCTTTTCAACATCCCCCAAGCAGGTCAGTGTTCCGTCTCCTCTGGGGGCTGGTCAGTCTCCCCACTTTGGCTGTTCCAAGTGAGCTTTGGGTCTCACTAGAACCTGTCTTGACACATTTGGGTCCACCTGTTGGTGGATTTTGGTCTCCTCATGGATTCCAGTCTCTGGTCCTTGAGGGAGGGGTCTGGGAACTGGGCTTCTGAGAGGGGGCAGCAGAAGGTCTGGCTTGCGATCTGCCTCCTCTCTTCCGTCTCCAGAGTTGCACACCATCATGGAGACCCCTCTTGAGAAGGCCCTGACCACTATGGTCACCACTTTCCACAAATATTCAGGGAGAGAGGGCAGCAAACTGACCCTGAGTCGGAGGGAACTGAAGGAGCTGATCAAGAAGGAGCTGTGTCTTGGTGAGGTAGGTGGCTGTCCCCTCCCCTCCTCCCCAAAGTTCAAGTGCTCCCAGTGGCTACTGTAGGAGGGGAGGGGGAAAAGAGGAAGCACTGATATTACTATCAGGGGGTCCCAGTGGAGGGGGGAGACCCGCCTGCCTCTACAGACCCAGAGTGAGGGGACACACACCTAGGCTCAGGGTACTCTAGCCTCAGCCAGGAGCAGGGTGGCCACAAGGGACGGAGATCAAAGGACATGTTGGGCCAACAGAACTCTAGATCCCTGTGCTGAGGATGAGTCAGGCTTCGCTGGCAAGAAGGAAGTTTGTGTGAGGGTTTAGAGAATAAAATCAAGGAGCCTTTGATGTTGAGGCCAGGCCCACACAGCTGTGGCAGAGCCTATGTGGGGCATCATTAGGAATAGGGGGGTCCGGGGGTCTAGGTGGGCTGTGCACAGCTCAAGGGCAGAGCCCCCACAGGCAGAGCTCTCAGCTGGTGCTGACATAGGAACCGAAAGGCTCATTCTCTTAGTTTGTGAACGAGACAGAACGGATTCTTACCAGACACAGATGGTGGAAGGGAGGTGACTGGTGGAGGGGAAGGCCTATGAGGTAGTTATAATATTATTTTACAGTAAAAGAAATAAAAATCGAGGCTCAGGGACATTATATGCCTTGTCTAGGAATACCCAGCTCCTGAGAGGCTGAGCTGGAACCCCAGGCCTGGGTCTCACTCTCCCCTTTTCCTTTAAAATTCAGCCTGGGTGCATCTCCTGTCCCACCCTGAACCCCGGTGGGCCTTCTCAGAGAGAAGCTCCCCTGAGTGTGCCCCTCTGGGCAGGGACTGAAGCAGATGAGGGTGTCACAGGCCTGCTCTCTGGCCTTCCTGCCGGTTTCTCTGCATCCTGGAGCTAATGAGGGTGGAGGGAGGGGCCCCGGTCCAGCAGGGGCTCATTACAGGAGGACTCGGGCCCTGGGGAGGGCCTGGCTATAACAGGAGCGCAGACTGGGGACAAGGGTTGCATCACCGAGAGGCTGTTTCCATCTGTGCATGTCCCGGTGTCCTGTCTCCCGCGGAAAAGCTGGGGCTGCGGGCAGAGGAGAGGGGAGGGCAGGATGTCTGCGTTCTTCCTGTACCACTCGGAGGGCGCGGTTCCCCTCTCTTGCTGGAGCTGGGCTGGGCCGGCAGGGGATCAGACAGAGATTATACTGGGCGCCAGGCACTCGTCTCCACACAGCTGTCCCGCACGTTGTCCTAGCAGGGGAAGGGCACCGTGGCTTCTCAGCTCCAACACAGAGATGAGGAGTCTGGGTCAATCCTCAGCGCTCCCCCAGTCAGAGACCAGGGCCGTGCTCCATGCCACACTGTCCCCCAGTGTTACTACCGGGTGTTGTATAAAATCTAGGTTATTATTTGTTTGCACAGTGGAAAGTGGTGAGGGGAAGGGAGGCCGGCCTTGCCTTCCTATTGTATTAAGTTCAGGATTCAGGTCCCCACACCCCTGCTTGGTGCCAGGCCCCGTGCTGGGGGGAAGACCGGGATTTGAGATGCTCAGAGTGTGGCAGACGCAGCAGGGGA